AAGAAATGACAAACAACAAGCGCTACTCTACACTGCTCAAAACTCGCGTTTGAATCGTCAGTGGCAAATTCTTTACATATAAAAAAAACGTACTTACAGTCTGTGAGTCAGAACAGCCGGCATTGTAGTCTTCTCTACCAGGATCAGGAAACAGTCCTCCATAAAATGTGCTGCACACATCGGAATATTTGGGTTGAAGATTTCTGGAACAGAGTTGTAAATACAACTTAACCACTGATTTCTAGTCTTGTCCTTTTTTGGAAGACCAAACAAAGTAGTTTTGCTTTCACAACAAAACACAGCGTCACACACGGCGGGCTAGAGTGAGCGGTGGCGGGCGGGCTTGCGGCAACCACATGCGACGACCCCGGGCTGGACTCCGCTTCGTCCACGGTGAAAGCCGATCCGGCGATCCACAGCACAGTTGATGTATTCCCTCAGTGACCAGCACGGATCAACTCCAGGCATGACGAAGCAATATCGTCCACTTTTGGAAGGCCAAACAAAGTAGTTTCACTTTTACAACGAAACACACAGTGTCTTCACGACATGGCAGCAGCAACAATACTACAGCGAGAATAAAAGTTACGCCTTCTTTCTTTGCGTGAACATTTGGGTGGCGTTATGCAAATATTCCCACATCGTGACGTAGACATGTTGGGGGCGTGTTAGAACGAGCCGTTTTAGGTAGGCGTGGTTGACTCTTAACTTTTATAAAGAATATCTCTTTGGATTTTAAACTTTAGTCTTTGCAACTTTACAGATCTTCTTTATGAACCAAGAGCTTGTAACACTCCAAAGAGAAAGGAAAAATTTTAATCACATCATATGACCCCTTTAATAAGACATTTATGGTCAAAATAACAGATAACACGCATTATAAATTGAATTTGTAGGCTTTTTCTAGAATTTGTAAAAATTCTTTCCACAAGAGGAATCACTTTGGAAGTGGACTTGATTCAGTGGGTGGATGGCTACATCTGGCACCTTCAGCACAATAGCAGGAAAATAACATTTACACAACACTACCATAACGTAACTGATATGCTTAGATTAAAAAATGGAAGCTATAAGGTTACTGTTCTCAAACCAAAACGAAGGAAGTGCAGAATCAGCAGAGGAAGTTAAAAATGTAAGAGATACTTACATCTTTATACTCCATTTTATTGTGAGCAAGCTATATACCAGATAATATCTGTGAACAAAAGGAATACATGCCCTGCATGATTTACTTAATTGTTAATATAAAACGATGCAAATCCAAAAAATCTAATAAAACATCAAATTAAGGGAGTGTTTTTCCCTTTGGCACTAAAAAAAAGCACAATCACATTCATATTGACATGAAATACAAAAAAAAGACAGGTTTAAAACACCGAAGGCCATGTGAACAAAGAAAAGCATTTTTTGCTTAAGCCGCACAAAGTCTACTACGAAAAGCCTGTGGCCGTCAGTGAAAATAAGTACATTTCCAACACAGAGGAAATGCTGCACTATTAAGGCACAGATTCAGCCTTGAAAGGCACTGACGACACAATTCGAGGCCAGGAATGCCTCTCAAAAACAAAAACTTCACAACTAGGGGAGACTGGAAGTACAGTGGGGAAAACAAAGGAAAGTGCGCTAATGTAGGTCATGATGACAGTACGGCCACACCTCAAATCGCCTTTTCCCCCTCCTCCTTGTCTTTGGCACGCTCAGTGGAACTCAGGCAGAGGAAATGCTGGCAGGCTACAAACCCCCATCCCCCTCTTTTTCTTTCCATAAAGTCCAAAATCAGCAACATCTGTGTAATGCAAGTCAGGCAAGGCTCCACGGGGGAAGAGACTATAAACCCTGCTAAATGTGCGTGAGACAATTTATTAAGCCTGACTTTTCTCTTAAACCCTGTGCTTTCTGCAAGACCTCGCCACGGAGTTTGCGGTTTCCTCCATTATTGAGGCCGGTTAGCAGAGGATGTGAAAGAAATGTGCTGATCTGAGCTTGTTTTCATACATCCAACATTTCCCACAGTGTACAACCGAACGGGCTCAAGAGAAAAACACAGAAACCTCGCAGACGGACAAATCACTCACAAACATAAAAAATAACCACAAAACAATCAAAAGTGCAAATTCTACATTGGGAACAGGGTTTTTGATTGGATGAGCACCATGAACGACAAGGTGTGTGTGTCTCTTAGAAAACGAACGTGCAGAAGGATTCGGCTACTGGGTAGCGAAAGTGTGCGAATGTTATCAGACCCACTGCTGCAGGGACCTTTTGCAGTGAACTAACACTTTTGGTGTCTCTTTCCTTTGGAGTGTGGTGATAATGATGTATATGACTCCCAGAATGCACAGCACCAGAACCAGAGGAACAGTCACCAAGATGAGGGTCATGAAGTGTTCATCAGTCTCTTTCACTCTTAGAATGACATCTACTTCCTTTTTCTCATCTTCTTCATCACCATTTTTGTGGTCGTCAGGGTCTTGATTCTTGTCATTCGTTTCAGGTGATCGATGGTCGGGATTTACATTAGTTTCTGCATCAAAGTGCACCCGGCAGCCCATGAAATCATTTAAAATGGATCTTGGGTATCCAGCGTCAACCTTCATTTGCTTGTTATCGAACCTCCAGTATTTGGTGTCTTTGTAGAAGTACGTGTACACTGTGTGGAAAAGAGTTTAAACGTTAATTAGTATATATAAATACACTAGTGAATAATATGGCATAATATTCCACGTAATCACCGGCAAATGCTTGATCAAACGAGATTTTAGCCAGGCTCTGAATTCCACAGCTATAAAAAGATGTGCCAAAGATGATCATGAACAATGGCGTGAAATTAGAAGTGAGAGCAGAACGTTTTCAAGTCGAAGGTCTTATTGCGCCCCAGTTTTTCAGCAATGAGGTCACATTTTCCTTCTCAGCTTCGGATTAATAGGCATGTCTCTCTTTTTTCTTGAATTCAGCCATGACATTTTCTCGGGCAGCATCACCCCAGCGTGACTCACCTCCATCATCACTGAGGAAGGCCCCTTTCGGGGAGCCAGGAATGGATCCCCACACGCTCACTGATTTAGGGTAATCTTTATCCATGGCACGGGATTCTTCGCTAAAACGCCAATATCTTCAAGAGAAAGCAGTAATGGAAACTAACACTTTAATTCTAATAAATGGTTAGCTCACAAAAACTAAAAAAAATGTTAATGAAACAACAAAATAAAAAAAGGCACAAGCTGTATATTTTACAGAACTTTGTCCAGATAATATTTAATTCCATAATTAAAAGAAAGAAACAAGAAAATATTTTGTTTACAAAAAAAGTATGAGTTTTGAATTGTGGTACTGAAAAAAAAAAGTTTAATTATATATATATATATATATAAACATCTTTTTTTAATTATATAGCTATTATATTGTTATAATACTTTCTGAGGGATATATTCTTGAAAATATACTGCAATATATATATATAAAGCAATTTCTGGTAATAAAATTGGACATTCTTTAGTTATATTTTTCTTACATTTTTTTCTAGGTGAAATGTGAAACAAAAAATTGTTTGGTTGGAGTGACATGTTGACAATTTTATTTGTATTTTTAAGCTAACTGTTCTTTCATTTAAGAGAAGAAGTTCACCCAAAAAAACAAAAATCTGTCATCATTTACTCACCCTCCACTTGTTCCAAACGCTATGAATTTCTTTCTTCTGTTGAACACATAAGCGACCAGCTGACGGTAACCATAGTTTGGAAGACAAAATACTATGGAAGTCAATGGGTACTGTTTGTTTTGTTACCAAAATGTCTTTAGAAGAAATAAACTCGTACAGGTTTGGAACAAATGGAGGGTGAGTAAATGATAACAGGATTAAAATTTTTGGGTGAACTATCACTTTAAGCCCCAGATCAAATTGCCCTCGAAAGAAATCTTATGTTGTTCTGTTATTGGCTAACTCCCAACCACTTGACACATCTGGCCTTTTGCACAAAGGCCCCAGCATGTTTACCTGTCTCCTCTGAAGAAGTACGTATAGCCAGATGGTTCCCACCACACTGCTGTGTCCACTTTGTCAGGCATGCCTTGACCATAACGAAACAAGTCCTGAGGGTATCCGGGCTCCACGTCTGCTTCTCTGAAAAGCCAGTATTTACTTCCTGCGGGAGTGATACAAAATACAAAGAGGGAATGGACAAAAAGCCACATTAGATGGAAACACTTGAACGGGAGGGGTTGCATGGCTGAGAGATGATATCACAGAGACCTCTATTCAATTACTGAGAGTGCACAGCAGATGATTTGTGTTGCATGAAAGTAAAGTTCCCCTCAAACAAATGCACAAATGAAACCGGAAATCTCACAATCTGCATAAACAACAAAACAATAACTGTAGCTCTTTCTACTACACATTCCCTGCTGCAAATTTTCCAGGTTTCTTCTCTCAAAATGAAAACGGAGCAGTCAGCATCTGGAGCTGAAGCTGACGCAATGGTGGCGAAGTCCTGTTATGCTGCCAGACTTTCCTTCTTACCTCTCTGAGTGTTTTACAAGTGACATAATTTGACTTCAAGATGCTGTTACAGCAAAAGGAACAGATGTTTAAAGGAGAAGTAGACTGATAACTGTGAAATATCAAATGATTTTGATGTGTCATTTTTAAACATGTCTATCATATTCTATCACTGTCATAAAAATAACTTTGGAACACAATAATAACAGCTTCACTGGCAAAAAAAACAACAACAACTTAAATAATTAAATAATTGTTTAAATAAAACAATTAAATTCAAAAGGTTTTTTTCACCCTTTTTAAGAATAAACCTCACTAAAATGAAGTTATTAAATTTATATATATTAAATATATGACTCAGACCTTTAAAGAATACAAATTTCCCATCATGCCGTTCATAGGCAGCATCTATGTCCTCTGGAAGCCCCATCCAGAAGAAGGAGATTGGCATTGGGTAATTATCCAGAACCCGGTTCCTCCTAACCCTCCAGAACCAACGACCCTGACAAACAATAACAACATTCATTTAATTATAACACTTGACAAAGATGTGTGGAGATTTATGCTTTGTCAGAAACATTCGACCATCTTGCAGACACCTGATTCAAATGATGGTCAAAAACAAACAAAATACATTGCTTGTAGTTTAGTACATATTTATGCAGTTACTAATGTGTTCTAAGTGGGCTTTTTATGAATAACCACTATATACAATATAACTGCACTTACTGAAGGTCATTGTTTCTAACCTTGAACACAAACATCTCCCCTCTTAACACGGTCACCGTGTCAAAGTTCCCCTCGCAGATGTCAGGTGCATCCTGATCTGAGCGAGCTGTGGGCTGGGGTCTATGGGACCTCCTGGTGGGGTGGACCGGAGGCACCCAGGGCTTGGTGGGCTGCAGCGAGGCTCTGGTTGTTTTCTGTTGGGCCACTGTAGTGGTGGGCTCCGGCTCGGCAGTGGTTGTAAACAGGGTTGTGGTGGGAGGTGCTTGAGTGGTGACAGTCTCTGGAGGTCCTGTAAATACCAAACCATAATGTATTTTCACACTTAGCTAATCATCCTCTTTTCCACACATACTGCGTTGACACAGAACGCGTCACTTTTCCATCCAGCACCAGAAGGCCCATGAGGCTCATTCAGCCAGCAGTGGAAGGCTTTCAAATGGAGAAAACAGACTCAAACAAAGACACATACACTGAAAAATTAATTGGTGCAGAACTCAATGCAACTGGACTGAAGCCACAAGCACATAAAAAAGCAGAGTGTGGATGACAACTGTATCATAAATGTGGCAACGCCTAAAGAAATCATTGGATAATGACTGATCTGCGTGTAAGAATTCACAGTTGCATTAGATACACATTTTCAAATGCAAAAGTGTCATCTGGAATTTTGCATAAAGGGGGATTCACACTGACATTGAAAATGAATGTGGCATTCCAAGAGTGCTGTTATTTAGTCTAATAACACTGGGATATTTCACCATTTTTATAATTCTGGGTTGCTTGACTGTGTTAGTTGTGGGGATTTTTGTGCCTCTAAATCAGTTAACAGATTAAAAAACATTGATTCATTCAGGAATGAAACAAGTGACCGTCTTAATGACTGAATCATTCAATTAATCGATTCATTAAAAAAACATTGAATAAAACAGGAACGAAACGCGATTGTTTATGCGTGAATCATTGAATCATTCAGTTAACTGATTCGTTAAAGAAATGCTGATTCATTCAGGAATTAAACAAATGAATGTTGTAATGAGTGAATCATTCAATTAACTGATTAAGTAAAAAAACACTGATTCAACCAGGAAGGAAACCAGTGATTGTCTTTTTGAGCAAATCACTGAATCAATTCAGTTAACAAAGTCATTAAAAACCACTGATTCTTCCAGAAAAGAAACAACTAATATTACTGAATCATTCACTCATTTAGGAACAACAAACCACTACTGTGTGTTACTCGCAGACATGCAACATTACAGCTTTGTTTGGAACCATTTCCGATGGTGGAACAAAAACAGACAAAGTAATTTCCAATATTGTGTCTCAGAAGTAAGTTACTCAATATTAACCTCATGTTTATTGAACTGTTGTGTAAAATCCATACAACACGTGCGAATTCATATAATGGACCTAATTTAATTAACTATAATCGACAGTAAGGTAAATTAACTAAACAGGAAATATCTCAGACTAGCTTACCATAGATCTGATGAATGCCATTTATATCATCTTCAGTCAATGAGAAGCTATCTGTGTCCATCCACTGGTAGAAAGACGCCATTATGGCAGAAGGGTTGTTGGAGTGCTCCAACCCCAGCGCATGACCCAACTCATGAACTGCAACCAGAAACAAGTCGATGCCTACAACCAAACAAAAACAGCTAATTAAATGACTAAACTATAAACTAAAAAAAAAAACCAAAGGGTTAAATCGGTTTCTGAACAGTTCATAGACATTTAAATGCTGCTAACATCCACACATTCTCTGTGGGAAAGTAAACGCTAAGCTAATACACAGTAAAAAAATGTGAATTTACTTTGAAGTAGGAAAAAGACTGCAGAAAATTGTTCACACCTGAGCTCTCCCGTTGGTTCAAGGTCCATGGCTCGTCTATATCGAAATGTGTGTCTCCTCCCATTCCAGGACCGGGGAAAAAAGCATGTGCCAGAGAGCCTCCTTCCCCATCAAAGAGAGACATATCGCCATGATATCCAGAGGCAAACAGTAGTATTATGTCAGGCCCCTCACTGCCATTCTTTATCTCATGATACGGGACCTCCTTGAACCTCAGAGGCGTTACTTTCTCCCAAACCTGGAAGGCTTTGCGAATAGCCTCGTAGGTCTGCTCCTGGCCCACTTTGGGTGAGTGGTTCTGAATGCTTGGGCAGGAAATAAAGATTATTTTTTCTCATCATTAACTTGATGATCATTAACTTGATCAATGTAAACTGAATTTGTTTTCGTAGTATTGAGGTTTAATTCACCTGTAAGTCAGCCTGTCCTGATCCCACTTGTGGCCAGTAAGTGCGTACCGCTTACGGCGAGTACCTCCCTCTGTTGACTCCTCAAAACGGTCAGGAACTCCACAGCGAGGTCTTTTCATGGCACTGAAAAGGATTTTTTTTTTTATATATATATATATATATATATATATACAGTGGGGCAAATACCTACTGTGAAGCATGGGGGTGGAAACATCATGCTTTGGGGCTGTTTTTCTGCAAAGGGACCAGGACGACTGATCCGTGTAAACGAAAGAATGAATGGGGCCTTGTATCGTGAGATTTTGAGTGAAAACTTCCTTCCATCAGCAAGGGCATTGAAGATGAAACGTGGCTGGGTCTTTGAGCATGACAATGATCCCAAACACACCGCCCGGGCAATGAAGGAGTGGCTTCGTAAGAAGCATTTCTAGGTCCTGGAGTGGCCTAGCCAGTCTTCAGATCTCAACCCCATAGAAAATCTTTGGAGGGAGTTGAAAATCCGTGTTGCCCAGCGACAGCCCCAAAACATTACTGCTCTAGAGGAGATCTGCATGGAGGAATGGGCCAAAATACCAGCAACAGTGTGTGAAAACCTTGTGAAGACTTACAGAAAACGTTTGACCTTCTTTAAACGTTTTGAAATTCTTTAAAAATCCTACAATGTGATTTTCTGGATTTTTTTTTTCTCATTTTGTCTCTCATAGTTGAGGTATACCTATGATGAAAATTACAGGCCTCTCTCATCTTTTTAAGTGGGAGAACTTGCACAATTGGTGGCTGACTAAATACTTTTTCCCCCCACTGTATATATATATATATATAGTGTGTATGTATATAACACACACACACATATATACATATAAGTGTGTGTAATTATATATAAGATGATAATTTTATATATCAACATAATTTAGTATTATTGCTATATTATTATAGTATTATTAATATTTTGAATTATTTTTTTATATTTTCAGTTAACTTCAGTTATTTTAATTTTACTGTAATATATTTTTGTGTGTACACATGTATTTTTAGATGTTTCTTGCTTTCTGAAAAGCTGCCATTCTACATTTTGTTGTACTTTGTGCAATGACAATAAAGCATCTTACTTTTATGTGCTTTTGTCATTTTTAATTCGTTTTTTATATATATATTTTATATTTAGCTTTAATTTATATCTTTTTCAGTTTTAACCTAAACTTAAACTTTTTCACTTAGTTGCCAATGCAACATTTTTAAGTTTTAAATTTTTTTCATCTAATATTTATATTTTATTACAGCTTTATTTCCATTAACAAAAAAAATTTGTAATAGTTTTTGTTAACAATAACAAGATTGGTATGAAATTATTAATAACATTATTAATAATAATTAACATTAATTCTAAACCCATTTTAAAATAGATAAATTATTTTATTAATAATAAAATTATTCTTGTTGTTAAAAATACAAATTGTATTAAGTCATGAGTGGTAAGGATAAGCTACATGACCTACTTACACTGTTTCACAGTTTATATTTTCTCAGTTACACACAATCGAAACAGACTAAGATAATCTTATTGTTCCACAGGCAGCTGAAGAAGAGAAAATCATACTTAAGAGTGGCCAAGTCCATGTGTCCGGTCACCTCCAGGCCATAGAAGCGCTGCATGTCCTTAATGGCACTTGAAAGGATCTGGGCTGATTGTATGGTGGACATTTGTCTGCTAGCCTGGGACAGGTAGCCATACATCCTCAGCCATGACTATGAGGAACAACAGAGACAGAACATTTTGGAGAGTTGACAATGTATTGCAACAACTACTACTAATAAGTGTGGTGACACAACAGAAAGGAAAAACAAACATACAGGAAGACATTAATAGACGAGCTTTCTGATTTTGCAACTATCCGTTAGAATCCATAAGGAAATGTTATGGAGGTTTGGAATAAGATAAGTTGAGCCTTAAACTACATAAACACAGTATAAAAATAAAAGTATGCCAGAGACAATTTTTAAATGTTTGGTTAAGAACTGAATATTAATATGAATATTAATATCTGAATGTGTTTCAGTTAAGACTACTGCCACATGGTCAGGCTATGAGGACAGATGTAAACATCCTTACACACAGGACAGATGTGAAGTTCACCAGAGGTTGCAGAAACTTCCTATTATAATTTTCAACTTTGAAATTACCAAACGGTTACTAAACAGATAGGATTGGATTCTAAATGAATAATACCAGGTAACCCAACGAAACTCTATGGTCCTGTAAGAAGTAAAGAAAAGAAAAGAAGAAAAAAAAGCTTTTTTGACTGCTTATATGTATTTATCAGTTATGTGTCCAATAAACTGCTTTCTAACGCATTGATATGCTGATCATTGTATATACAATATATAATATTTTAATAATAATAACATCTATTGGTGTTGTTATTTACAGCATTATATTTAATTAAAGCTGTTTTGACCTATATAAACGTAAATTTTCATATTTGTTTCGGTTTAAGTCTAATTGTTAAGGTACACATTTATCACTTGACAATTAATTAACAAATAATTACAATTAACAAATAATTATTTCAAAAGTTGAGTAATTATCCAAACAAGACGTTAAAGTGTGAATGGCGTTATTTATCAGTAAACTTGATATTAAAGAACATATTAGTTGAAAAGTGTAAATGACGAAATTAATCGATCAAACCGATTTCAAATTGAAAAGTTTTCTAAATATTTGTCCAAACCTGGAAGACCAAAGCAAAATGTGGCCAAACAGAATTTCACAACTCAACATGTACAAATATAAAGCCCACTAAGTTAGTTTCGTGCCGTCAGTATGTTAGTACAACAATCATAACGATAGAGTCCACAAACCTCCGCGTTAAAAGCGTCTTCGTCTGCAGTCGTTTCAGCAATGTTGACAAACAGTAGGATGAAAATCATAGTCACAGGTCTGAGCGCCCGATGCGATCTACTCCTGCGGGCTGACATCTCTCCACTCCCGGCACAGCAATGGCAACGAACACACAACCTGGAATCGCTTAGATTAGATCGCAACCTGGGAGATTCTACAATCTTTTATCACCAAAATGAACTCATTGTTCTTATCGGACCACAAACCCACTAACTTAGTGCACGTTTTTTGTATTGTTATCCGTGCAAACAAGTTGGAATAGGTCTCCAGCGGCGTGCGCAAGCTTGTAAACTATAACATTAGCATGACCAGCAGCTATCTACCCATTAAATATTGAATAAAGACACTACTTCTTGATATCTGCATTGTCTGTGTTGATATAAGCACCGCCTGGATAAACCCATCTGGAAATGCCGAGGACCAGGCGGAGTGCCCTCGAAACGATCCTCAATATGTTGCAGGACACCAAATATGAGCATGAAAGCTCATGAGGATCTCATGCCATTCTGCAGCACGCAGCCGCACCCGATTCCCTGCCCACTTTCTCTGTTTACCTTTGTGATATTATGCACGCCATTTTTGGTTTTACAATAAACATTCCATATGTATTTTTAAGAAAACGCAGATTAAGGGAGATGCACTGAAATTGGTTTATTTGAAGAACAAAATCAGTCAAGCATGTAACTCAATATTTAGTTCTCACTGCCACCTGTTGTTCATATTCAGTAATGTAAATAAAGTGCGATTCACAGTATGCAAGAAAAGAAAAAAAAGATCAATGCCTCTTTGTGAATCACATTCAAGCTAATTTTACTTCAAAAACTAAATTTCCTTGACAAAACATTTAATGTTCACTGACGGTCTATTATCTTGGAGTGTTCACTCAGAGCTAACATGCTAATAGTTAGCTTGTGTACTTGAGGCAGCTTTTGTACCAAACACAAACCATTATGTGTTGGGTATAAATGTGATTTATTTAGCTATTTGTCATGTGTCGTCAAATTCCTGCTTTGGTGATACTGATAAGAATGAAAAGGAAGATGCCCAGGGTCAAAATCACTGCCAACGGAAGACAATATGTGAGGAGATCTAAAATCAGACAACATCCATATGGGTAAAACATGAAACATGTATTAAAATGTCATAGGACACTACATAAACAGCTCCCATCTGATTGGTCCATAAGACAGCAGGCCTTGAGCTTGCTCATCCATAACCACCTCTCTTTTGGATACAGTTTTACATTCCTAAAAGAAATCAGGTCAGGTTAACAATGGAAAATTGATTTTGTGTGATTTTCTGAAACCAACTGGTTAAAAAAAATGCTTACAGGAATACAAGACTTTCCATCCTCAGGTGTGCAGAGATGCAGTGCAGGTAGAAACTGTGGGGCTCCTATACAAACTGAAACATATCAAACGAATAACGGACAGTCGACCCCTCACTGTTTGTTCCTGTAGGGTGCGCCGTGCCGTTACCAAATTAAGTTGTTTTATCATTTGTGCACCTTGAAGACAATCAGAAAAAAAATCAAGACATTTCTGAAAGTATGTTTTTTATGTATTTTTATTATTTAAATATTTATTTTAAAAAAGTTATTGCAACTCAATCTTATGAGAAAATGTAACTATTTAATGAGGTGCCGATTGGTGTGGTCACACTTTCTGTTGTTGGCCAAGTTTCACAGCCAACATCCAGTCACTTAAACAGGAATCCATGTGATCGGGAGTTTTGTATGAGGCTGAAAAATTTCCCCAATGCATATTTTGTTTGGTCACACTAATTTGCTGTGTTGACCAACAGACAGCTGCTTGGTTTGAGAGTGACTTAAGTGCAAGCTGTGCCTTATGCATCGCTTTTCATCTTTAAAAAAATTCTCCAAAATGTGACTTACCCTTAAGTGGTACTTATTGCATTGCTACACTCTAAAAAATGCTGGGTTAAATACTACCCACCCCTGGGTAAAATAGGGACAAACCCAGCAATTGGGTTGTTTTGACCCAGCGGTTGGGTTACTACCCAGAAGGTTGGGTTAAACATTTAACCCAACCGCTGGGTCAAAACAGCCCAATTGCAGGGTTTGTCCCTATTTTACCCAGCACTGGGTAGTATTTAACCCAGCATTTTTTTAGAGCGTACACTATTGATAATGGACAATAGACCTTCTTTGCCTACAAAATTTTACAAAAGTTTCTGTGCCTTCAGTCACCAAAAACAAAATAGTTACAAATTGCCACGAGACTGTGTTGGTTATTGGTGCTAAAAAGGGACATCTGGATTTAAGATTTACAGATCATTCCCTATACTAACTTACCCGTTTACCAGCAGTGTGTGGCTAAAGCCTGACTTATCATTAGCTTGAGGAGTCTGTGTAGCCCAATACTAATTTACTCTCAGATGGAAGAAATCTTCTGGCTCTGTCACTTGGATCTGGACATAGATTTTATCTCCGAGCTTAATAGTAGGTGTGCTGGTAAAAGCTTCAGTTTATGTGTGATCTTTATACAGGCTCATCTCCACCATGGCATCCACTTCATCCACCTTGAACATTCTTTCACTTCAAAAACAAATCAAATTGGTTAAACACGTGCTTTATCAAGGATAATTTGAAAAAATGTTGGACCATCCAAAATGTAGATACGTTTGTTTCTTCATCGTTTTAGCAATTTTTAACAATCCATCAATTAATGTCTTGTGAAGAAACAAAACAATCATTAAGATGATTGAGCAATGTTAATTGATGGACTGGAGACGTGTAGATTACTTGTGGATTGTGATGTTTTTATCAGCTGTTTGGACTCTTATTCTGACGGCACCCATTCACTGCAGAGGATCCATTGGTGAACAAGTGGTGTAATGATATATTTCTCCAGATCTGCTCCAATGAAGAAATAATCCCATCTACATCTTGAATGGCTTGAGGGTGAGTACATTTTCAACAAATTTTCATTTTTGGGTGAACTTTTCCTTTAAAATAAAGAGATGATGGGAAATGCCAGTCTGAGTCTACGGATGTACGTATAGATGCACTTGTACTCAGTCTGCACAACTGGATCTCTCACAATGTTTCCATAGACAGGTGGGTCAGACATCAGCATTAAGGAGTACGCAATGTGCATTATGTTCTTCTAGAGTCGGTAACATTTGGAGATATGTAATGTGTATGTGCATTGATGCTTGCATATTTTAAGAAAAATAGTACTGCACCTCCAGAGGTTTGCCTCCACAGGCAGTGTACTGGTCCATTGGTGTGTGCAAATAAGACGAAATAAGACGATCCAGAGATCTCCCCTCTATGGACACGGCAGCTGGCGTTAGTCAAATTAACTGCTTCTACTGCCACATTGTAGTACTTGAAGAACTCTTCATCCACTAGGATATATTTGATTAATACAAAAATTCGTTAAAATTAAAACAACATGAAAAAACGGTCTTACTCAGCTAAAAATCCAGGGCCAGATTCACAAAACATCATTACGAGAAAAAAAGAAGAAAAAAAAACTTAATGTTCTTATTTTCTTCTTAAATCTTAAAAATTCTAATTCTTGAAAATAATCTTAAAAATCATTGTAAACAACTTGAAGTTATCCTAACATGAAGTAAGGATAACCTTCCAACTTGTCTTAAATCCCCAAAGGTATAGTCTGTCATTTTATTTCTAATATATTAACGAAAAAATAATACTAAAAAAACTGAAGTTAGACAAAAAGAATTTTGCTTAAAGGGGTCCTATTATGCTCTTTTACAAAGTCTTGATTTTGTTTTGGGGGTGTACTAGAACAGGCTCTCATACTAGGTTGTCAACCAGGTCTCGTCCCATTCGTCGATATTTGTGATATCACAAATCCCGGAAAATATGGGTTGTAGTCCAAACGAGTCGTTCGTTGTAGTTTTTGAATAGTGATTTCTGTTAAATAAAATATCTCCTTTTGAATTGGACTTTGAGCTTTGTAACTTTGCAGATCTTTTTTATGCTCAAACAGCAACATTACAGACTAACTAAAGTTGAAAAAGTGAAAAAGCATAATAGGACCCCTTTAAGACTTACGTGAACCTGGTCCCAGCTTGACAACCAGCTAAATGCCAAGCTAGGAGATCAGTTTAAAACAGCTAAGACCAGCAATTCATTCAACTGGTTATACAGTTTTTCCTATAAGGTTAACTCTCCTTTACCCTGGTCACAGAGATCTCCAAAGTAGCCAACTGCAAATTTACAAGTTCGCCTTAGCGACAAAATGCAGGTAGCTGGGTCACAACACTGTGATATTTCACATTCACCTGGATGAAAAAATGGCTTTAATAAACAGACTTGACTGAAAAAACATATTACCATCACATGTGACCTTACCAGAAATACTCCCAACAGCACAAAGTAAGGTTGCAAGATGCAGAAACATCTATGAGAGAAAAATTACAGCGAGTGAGAAATTACTGAGGTAAAATCTGACACTGCCACACTAAAAACAAAAGACACCTTTAATTTCTAATTCGTCATTTGTATCAGCAAATCCTTTTTATTTAGATTTTTTAAGTGTTTGGATAATAGTTTTTGAACATAGCAATTTTAAATAAGCCTAATATCTAGTCTACATGTCTCATTCAAGTAAATATTGATTAAATACATCAGAGAGGAAACGCTAAATTAATTTGATGAGTGACACCTGGGCTGCGTTCAGCCCCGACAAAAACGATGCAAAACGTTTTTTAAACGGAAACGGTGGTGTGTTGAACACCCTGTTCTGATGACGCAAGAGTTGCAACTATGGCAGCTGAGAAGGCCATTCTGTGTGTTCTTTTTGAAGAATTTTCGGAGCCTGATGAAATCGGTATAAATACGTGTTTAATACTGCAAAATACGCTCGATGGTACAGTCACTGCCCTTGCCCTCCAGAATAAAAGAGAACATCCCAATCAAATGAAGGGATTTGTGGAAACTGTGGTTCCTAATTATTGTGATCCAAAATTTGCCTCGCATTTCAGGATGAAAAGACAAACATTTCAGGTGATGGATAATCCACTTCTTACCGCCAAGACTGTGTTATGATCTATATGACCTTATTATTTTTATTGTGAGTATTAGACTTATCGTTATTGCTGATCGCTGTTGTTGTGCTATGATATTGTAATATTTACCATTATATAATCAGAGGAGTATAGACAAGTTTATGAAAGTATCACTACATATTACTAGGGATGCACGATATATCGGCCACCATATCGGTATCGGCCGATAAATGCTCATTTTTTTCTGTTATCGGTATCGGCCTGATAAGAAAATTTGGCCGATATCTTAAAGCCGATAAATAATGCATTATTTCCTTCAGAGACACTTCAGATGCGCGCTGTTCGTTTGCAGCCTTTTGTGCAATTGTACGTTGTAATATTGTGTTTATTTGATATATATCTGATTTATCTCATATAGAATGCGTTTGGTTAAGTTAAAAGAGCGCTTCAGTTTACCGGTGATCATCTTTAGCTCAGCGCACGCAGCTCAAACA